ATAATAAAATTTAACTTAAAATAACCTTTTGTGCTATACTTGAAGAACAGTTGAAATATATTTTAAATGTGTTCCCTGAACATTTTTATTAGCATTTCAGCATATTAGTAATATATTACTAGTATACTCCAAGAGCCACTATTAATATCTTGGGAAGCTGTTTTATGAAACCATTCAGTATGAGAATAATTCATTATTAATGCATGAAAAATATCTTGCAAAATGCCCTTTTAGCATAATAATAATCAGTAAAAAAAATATTTTACAACACATACAGACAACTAAAAAAAACTTTAATTTTGTGTATATTACAAAAATAAATTCCTGTACATTAAAAGGTGCAGCAGCATGTATCACATCTCGACCAAAATACCTTCAAATAAAAATAAAATCCGTAAAATGACGACATATGATCAGTATTACTGAAAAGTACACTATACACATCCCATCATTAATGTAACCCATGGGGTCCCTCATACGGTTCAGACTCTGGGCTCAGATGACCTCACGGCAAGCCGTCCCACTCCTGACACCATATGCGGCCAAAGGCGAGAGCAGTCAGTCTACCCAGATTCAATCACAGGTCTACAGGGTACCAAACATGCAACTTTGACAGTTAATTGCATTTCGGTTCTCTGAGGGGTTCTCTAACTCAACTGTAGTGAAGGTACTCCGTCACAAGCATGCAGTACAAATGGTGGAACCAAACTGAAAAATGTCACAATCCGTATCCTTGGATTGGAGGGTCGGTATCTTTGAGTAGGACTTGTTGCAGTGACACTATGGGATTTGGAAACTGCTTTATCACATAGCATCTGTGGAAGGGAAAAGGAAATATTTTGTCTATATCAAAGCAATATTACCTCTAATTAATTAACAACCGTTGTCAGATTTGTTATTTTGTTTAAAGTTGCTGAAACACAATATGACATCATGTCTGTTCTGATGATGCTCACCGTTTAGGTTCAGGTGAAATGGTTTTACACAAGGTACCCCTCCCAGTTAATGCTCAGTTCTTCCATTACAACATAATCAAAAACATTACATAAACACTACTGTACATTCAGCCAAGGAGCTGTATATGATAAAATGTTGTTAAACAGGTACAACAAATAACACAAACATTCAGACCTGCTTAACAACTGTGCTGTCTACATGTCATTTCACATTAACACAGTACAAAAGTAGCCAATTACTGAATGTATAACAATATTTTAAATAAAATTATTTTTTCACAAGAATATTTGTTTATTTAGTCTGACCCCATTGACATGTACCGAAAACAAGAACAGTGATGGTGTGCAGGAGCCAGACACACCTATGAGCACCAGCTGGTCCTGATTTTTGTGGCCTCTGAGTGAGGCAATGATCCCAGGAAGCTCTAAAAGAAAAGAAATGCAGTTGCAAATGAGATATAATAAATATTCAGTTAGGCCAGTACTTCCACCTAGTTTAGTTCTTCATTTGCGTATCATTATAAAAACTAAATAAAGAATAATAATAAAGATTTGCTATAAGAATAGAATTACTTTTCTTGAGCTAAGGCAGGAAATTCCAACTCTGGGTTTAGCATTAAGTTGGTTAAAGTTGGCAAAGAGTAGGTTCAAGTTTAAAAAGATGAATACAGGATCTATGGACATAAAGCTGAGCAGTATTTTACTTAACATCACAAGCTATTATATCGTGTGGTTATGCATTGCAGTACATAAAAACATTATTTGACCCGTGTACACTTTAACATTGCTGTTTAACTGAGTTATTGGTCACTGGAATAATTCCCCCTCCATGAAGTGAAATCTCTAAAAAAAAACAGTGCACCTTTAGAGATGTCCACTTTTGACTAGTCTAACACAGATGCTTAGCTGGTGTTTCATAGCAGCTTCAGCTAAACTTTAGAATGAATTTATACAAAAATGACAGCTGTGGTGATGTCTTTATAACTCTGATAAAGACCTCACTGGTCACAGGTGGGTGGTGATCGCGCACAGATAAGATGCCTGCCTTTTGGTGTGGGAGACCCGGGTTCGATTCCCACTGTGAGACATCTACAAATGTGTCCCTGAGCAAGACACTTAACCCCTAGTTGCTCCAGAGGCGTGCGACCTCTGACATGCATAGCAATTGCAAGTCGCTTTGGATTAAAGCGTCAGCTAAATGTAAATGTATCATTTTAACAGTGCAAAAGCAGAATTGAGGGCTCACACACACACATGCTGCAGGCCTGCGTAGTTAAAATCTCATGCATCAAATTCCAGCAACAGGTTACTGAGATTGTACATTACCGAAATTTTAGTAACATTAAAAACTGCCTTACAGCAAAAAGCAATACATTACCGTAACGTCGATTGCGTTACTTTTGTAACGCGTTACTCCCAACACTGTTTAAGGCAGACGAAAATGCTACCTAACCTTAGCTAATAAATATATTAATCCACGTGCTAGCATTAGCTATTGCACACCAGAGCTATCCAAGAAAGGAAAACACACTCTTGAACAAAATCTTAAGACCAGGGGAAACATTGCACGTACTCGCATTTCGCGCTGGTGGATCATAACCGGATCAGCTGATGAACAGCCTGTTTGAGTTTAAATGCAGTTTTCAATAAATTGCCTACTCTCTATTTTTTGTCTCTTGCTCCTGTTTCTTCTTTTGGCATTTTGAAGCAGTACTTACAACTATGATTATGATCCACCAGCGCGAAATGCGAGTACTTGCAATGTTTCCCCCGGTCTTAAGATTTTGTTCAAGAGTGTATTTCCAAACCCAGAGTGAGCTCAACTTTAGTTAACATACACAATTGTGGTGTCTTGCTAACAATAAGAAACTTACCAAGAAAGTCTGTGCGTCTGTCCTCTCCTGCTTGTAACTCTGTTCACATTAAACTTCTGCAGGGATCTGACCGGATATTCTTCTCTTCTGTGTCCTTTTCTGTGGTGTCCACTTTCGCCAAGTTGGTAAAGTAAAACAAAGGAAACCTGAGAAACAAAATTATTTCTGGCTTCCCTCTCAACGACAGTACACGCGTTAACTTTCACGCTGTGTGATTGGGTCATTGATTTGAAAACCTTGATTCTGATTGGTCAAACTGAATGCACTGTGCTAGTGGGCTGGGCGGGAGGGCGCACTTTGCCCCTCTGTACACATGTGTTTACTGTTTACAAACACAAACAAGTATAACTACATTATGATTTAAAGTATCCTTATATCTATATGTTGTTGTTTGTTAAGTTAACAACATGTGCTGCTTCCTTCTAGGCCAGGTTACCCTTATGAAAGAGGTCTCTGATCTCAACGAGCTATTTACCTGCAATTAAAAATAATTAAAAGAAAGAAAAGAAATAAAAAAAAAAGAAACAACATGCTTTTGAAATTTTTTAAAAAGGTTTTAAAAATCATACTTCTGGAAATCAGGCTGAAACATGTGGCAATTACATAAATAATTACAATATTTTGCAGTAGCCTACACAATGAAGCATGTTTGGCATAAATATATTTTAACCCACTAAAAGTGTAATTGTTTAACAATGTACTTCCACAAAGTACACCTAAATAGTATTTACTAAGAGTTAAATAAATATATTTTTTAAAAGTAGACTAAAATGTTGTGAAAAATATACTTTTATTTAAGCATATTTATTAAAAGTTTAACTAAGTATATATTTATTACCAATTTCTTCAAAGTATTTGAGAAGTATGTTAAAGCTCAGGAGAATATATCTTTAATATACTTGTAGTAAGCATGTTAGGAGTATGAATGTACTATAAGCATACAATATTTTCAGTGCCTTTAAGGGCACTTCTTTTTGACCTGGGGCAGGACACGGCAGTCTCCTCTCCACAGTAGCTTGTTGAGCTGATAGATTCTATCGACTGGCAACATAAATTGTCAGAACACCTGTTCGGTTGAGCAGATGGTGCAACTTACACTTGCCCATTTGTCCTGCTTCTAACACATCAACAAAGGACAAAACGTTCACTTGCTGCCTAATATATCCCACTCACTGACCGGTGCCATAACAATGACCTCCCCTGTCAGTGGTCATAAAGTTATGGCTGATCGGTGTATTTCATAATATACAACATGCAGCAGCAACTTAAAACAGATAAATCATTAAGCAAAAAATGTAAGCAACTTCATAAAAATCATAAAGTCAGTTAATAAAACATAATCGGAAACAAAACTTAATACACAGGTTTGCATAATTTAGAGACGAAGGCTAGTATAAATAAAAGAGTCTTCAATTGTTTGTTAAAGGCAGCGACAGAGACTTCAGTACATGATTATAGGGGAAGTGCATTCCAGTGTTGGAGCGACCACTTCACATACACGATAACCTTTTATTTTCAGCAAGAGGAACAACTAGTAGCCTCAGCCCTGCTTTGAACACCTAAGTGGCCTTGTGGTGATGTAGCATCTGGGTGAAGCAGGTCAGAAATGTATCCAGGTGCCTGACCATGCAGGGCTATTAATGTAAAAACGAGCACTTTAAACTGAGTCCAGAACCTGATCGAGAGCCAACGATGGCTGGATGTGTGTGATGTGACTTGTCCTGCTGGACCTTGTCAACAGTCTTGCAGCATCATTCTGGTCGAAGAAGGAGACAGAGTAGTCTAACCGGTATGAACTTCATGCATGACTTGTCATCTCTAGCTCCGGTTTTGAGACAACAGGTCTGGCAATCTTAAATGCATGTGTTGTGACTTGCAAATCAATTAATCTCTGTACACTTATGAATAAAATCTAACATATATTTTATTTTTTCTTGGGTCTCAATATTAATGAATGCACACAGAAGGATTCACAAATATATTTTGTGATTTTATATCATGTGATTTAACACTGACTCTCTCTACAAACATAAGTTTCATTGCACACAACTCTACACTTGGAAAAGTTTAATAAAACGTCCATAAAATAATCTGAACAGGTCAAAGACTATGAAATTATGGGATATCCACCACTTAACATACAAGTTTAACTTTAAAAAGCAGCTCTTACCTGCAGTCTGACAACTGCACCTTCAATGTGATGTGGCTGACTGACGTGACATTAAGTATCAGTATGACACTCCTCTGCTGAGAAACAAACACATATGTCAATCTATGTCACCGCTGAGTCTGTGGATGACTCTGCCAACAGTAGTGCATTCCAGCATGCTGTTAATGAGGACCAAACAGGATTTGGTTAAGGGGCGCTTTGCGTCTGATAACATGTGAAGATTGCTACACATTATAAATGCTGCAAACACTCACCTGAATCAATGTGCAGTATTCTCACTTGAACACCTCAAGTGAGAATACTGCACATCAAAAAGCATTTGATAGACTAGAGTGGAACTATAGGTGGGTAGTATTGCAACATTTTTGATTGAGACATAATTTTATTCAAGACATTATACCACTATTGCAAGTGTTCTAACTGGTAATCTCTCACCCATTCCCACTGCAGCGTGTAGCAAGACGGGGATGTCCACTTTCAACACTTTATTCTGTCCCTGGAACCTCTGGCGCAAGCCGTTAGGCCATCTAGAGCCTCCCCATGAAAACTGGCGATAATAATCATATGTTGTATGCTGATAATATTACTTTGTTTTTTGATTACTGTGACACCTCTATTCACGTTACTTAAAAAATTCATAAATTTAGTGACATCAGTGGCTGTGTGTTTTTTTTTTGAGGGGACAGCAAATCTACACTATGATACAAGCTGAACACTCACTACTTTACATTGTAGCAAAGTGTCATTTCTTCAGTGTTGTCACATGAAAAGATATAATCAAATATTTACAAAAACATGAGGGGTGTACTCACTTTTGTGAGATACTGTATGTGCATCTGTTACACTGGATGATGATGAATGTGATGATTATATATTCTGACTGAACTGTCCATGATGTGATGGTGTTTGGAAGTTGTTCTTGGCTTTGTTTGCAGCCCCAACCAGAGGAAGTGAGTTCAGTGCACTAAGGCACTGAGGTGCTTTGACACAAATACTAACATTTGTCAGCTGTCAGCATGCTAACATGCTCACAATGACAATGTTTGTGTAAATCTGGTGGCATCGACTGCAATTGTCGTACTACTTCCTGTTCTCACTCTGCCTGAAGTTCTTGTCATGTTGGAGCTGTTTCCTCTGTTTCTTGCTTTGACATGTCAGTCTTCTGTGTCTTACCTGATTTAAATGTGGATCTCACCTCTAATTTCACCTCTTTGTCACCATCATGTTTAAAGTAAACCAGTTTTGACTATTGACAGAGAACTGGAAGCCTGCTGTCACATGAAATGTGTTGTATCAACTGAACAACAACCAATCCTGTTTTTGTTTATACAGGTTCTGGTTGACTGACTACTGCTGCTTCACCACACTGGGGAAGAGCTTACCGCCATACTGCAGGTAATACACTAACTAAAGACAGGGAAGTAGGACTAGGGGGGGAAAGGGGACTGTGAGGAGGGCCCACAGAGATATGTAAATGGCCGTGGATGCAGGGAGACCCTCCCTGCATCCACAGCTATAGAGAATACCTATGTACAGGGTCCAGAAATTTCTGCTACACATCATCACTATAGACGAAATACCTCATACAGCAACACTTCATGAAACCCACACTATCACTTTAATAGTAGTAGCCTACACAATGAAGCATGTTTGGCATAAATATATTTTTAACCCTCTAAAAGTGTAATTGTTTAACAATGTACTTCCACAAAGTACACCTAAATAGTATTTACTAAGAGTGAAATATATTTTTTAAAAATAGACTAAAATGTTGTGAAAAATATACTTTTATTTAAGCATATTTATTAAAAGTTTAATTAAGTATATTTTATTACCAATTTCTTCAAAGTATACTTTTGAGAAGTATGTTAAAGGCCAGGAGAATATATCTTTAATATACATGTAGTAAGCATGTTAGGAGTATGAATGTACTATAAGCATACAATATTTTCAGTGCCTTTAAGGGCACTTCTTTTTGACCTTGTCAACAGTCTTGCAGCATCATTCTGGTCCAAGAATAGGAGAGATACGAAAAGGAGACAGAGTAGTCTAACCGGTATGAACTTCATGCATGACATGTCATCTCTAGCTCCGGTTTTGAGACAACAGGTCTGGCAATCTTAAATGCATGTGTTGTGACTTGCAAATCAATTAATCTCTGTACACTTATGAATAAAATCTAACATATATTTATTTTTTCTTGGGTCTCAATATTAATGAATGCACACAGAAGGATTCACAAATATATTTTGTGATTTTATATCATGTGATTTAACACTGACTCTCTCTACAAACATAAGTTTCATTGCACACAACTCTACACTTGGAAAAGTTTAATAAAACGTCCATAAAATAATCTGAACAGGTCAAAGACTATGAAATTATGGGATATCCACCACTTAACATACAAGTTTAACTTTAAAAAGCAGCTCTTACCTGCAGTCTGACAACTGCACCTTCAATGTGATGTGGCTGACTGACGTGACATTAAGTATCAGTATGACACTCCTCTGCTGAGAAACAAACACATACGTCAATCTATGTCACCGCTGAGTCTGTGGATGACTCTGCCAACAGTAGTGCATTCCAGCATGCTGTTAATGAGGACCAAACAGGATTTGGTTAAGGGGCGCTTTGCGTCTGATAACATGTGAAGATTGCTACACATTATAAATGCTGCAAACACTCACCTGAATCAATGTGCAGTATTCTCACTTGAACACCTCAAGTGAGAATACTGCACATCAAAAAGCATTTGATAGACTAGAGTGGAACTATAGGTGGGTAGTATTGCAACATTTTTGATTTAGACATAATTTTATTCAAGACATTATACCACTATTGCAAGTGTTCTAACTGGTAATCTCTCACCCATTCCCACTGCAGCGTGTAGCAAGACGGGGATGTCCACTTTCAACACTTTATTCTGTCCCTGGAACCTCTGGCGCAAGCCGTTAGGCCATCTAGAGCCTCCCCCATGAAAACTGGCGATAATAATCATATGTTGTATGCTGATAATATTACTTTGTTTTTTGATTACTGTGACACCTCTATTCACGTTACTTAAAAAATTCATAAATTTAGTGACATCAGTGGCTGTGTGTTTTTTTTTTGAGGGGACAGCAAATCTACACTATGATACAAGCTGAACACTCACTACTTTACATTGTAGCAAAGTGTCATTTCTTCAGTGTTGTCACATGAAAAGATATAATCAAATATTTACAAAAACATGAGGGGTGTACTCACTTTTGTGAGATACTGTATGTGCATCTGTTACACTGGATGATGATGAATGTGATGATTATATATATTCTGACTGAACTGTCCATGATGTGATGGTGTTTGGAAGTTGTTCTTGGCTTTGTTTGCAGCCCCAACCAGAGGAAGTGAGTTCAGTGCACTAAGGCACTGAGGTGCTTTGACACAAATACTAACATTTGTCAGCTGTCAGCATGCTAACATGCTCACAATGACAATGTTTGTGTAAATCTGGTGGCATCGACTGCAATTGTCGTACTACTTCCTGTTCTCACTCTGCCTGAAGTTCTTGTCATGTTGGAGCTGTTTCCTCTGTTTCTTGCTTTGACATGTCAGTCTTCTGTGTCTTACCTGATTTAAATGTGGATCTCACCTCTAATTTCACCTCTTTGTCACCATCATGTTTAAAGTAAACCAGTTTTGACTATTGACAGAGAACTGGAAGCCTGCTGTCACATGAAATGTGTTGTATCAACTGAACAACAACCAATCCTGTTTTTGTTTATACAGGTTCTGGTTGACTGACTACTGCTGCTTCACCACACTGGGGAAGAGCTTACCGCCATACTGCAGGTAATACACTAACTAAAGACAGGGAAGTAGGACTAGGGGGGGAAAGGGGACTGTGAGGAGGGCCCACAGAGATATGTAAATGGCCGTGGATGCAGGGAGACCCTCCCTGCATCCACAGCTATAGAGAATACCTATGTACAGGGTCCAGAAATTTCTGCTACACATCTGACTATAGACGAAATACCTCATACAGCAACACTTCATGAAACCCACACTATCACTTTAATAGTAGTAGCCTACACAATGAAGCATGTTTGGCATAAATATATTTTTAACCCTCTAAAAGTGTAATTGTTTAACAATGTACTTCCACAAAGTACACCTAAATAGTATTTACTAAGAGTGAAATATATTTTTTAAAAATAGACTAAAATGTTGTGAAAAATATACTTTTATTTAAGCATATTTATTAAAAGTTTAATTAAGTATATATTTATTACCAATTTCTTCAAAGTATACTTTTGAGAAGTATGTTAAAGGCCAGGAGAATATATCTTTAATATACATGTAGTAAGCATGTTAGGAGTATGAATGTACTATAAGCATACAATATTTTCAGTGCCTTTAAGGGCACTTCTTTTTGACCTTGTCAACAGTCTTGCAGCATCATTCTGGTCCAAGAATAGGAGAGATACGAAAAGGAGACAGAGTAGTCTAACCGGTATGAACTTCATGCATGACTTGTCATCTCTAGCTCCGGTTTTGAGACAACAGGTCTGGCAATCTTAAATGCATGTGTTGTGACTTGCAAATCAATTAATCTCTGTACACTTATGAATAAAATCTAACATATATTTTATTTTTTCTTGGGTCTCAATATTAATGAATGCACACAGAAGGATTCACAAATATATTTTGTGATTTTATATCATGTGATTTAACACTGACTCTCTCTACAAACATAAGTTTCATTGCACACAACTCTACACTTGGAAAAGTTTAATAAAACGTCCATAAAATAATCTGAACAGGTCAAAGACTATGAAATTATGGGATATCCACCACTTAACATACAAGTTTAACTTTAAAAAGCAGCTCTTACCTGCAGTCTGACAACTGCACCTTCAATGTGATGTGGCTGACTGACGTGACATTAAGTATCAGTATGACACTCCTCTGCTGAGAAACAAACACATACGTCAATCTATGTCACCGCTGAGTCTGTGGATGACTCTGCCAACAGTAGTGCATTCCAGCATGCTGTTAATGAGGACCAAACAGGATTTGGTTAAGGGCGCTTTGCGTCTGATAACATGTGAAGATTGCTACACATTATAAATGCTGCAAACACTCACCTGAATCAATGTGCAGTATTCTCACTTGAACACCTCAAGTGAGAATACTGCACATCAAAAAGCATTTGATAGACTAGAGTGGAACTATAGGTGGGTAGTATTGCAACATTTTTGATTTAGACATAATTTTATTCAAGACATTATACCACTATTGCAAGTGTTCTAACTGGTAATCTCTCACCCATTCCCACTGCAGCGTGTAGCAAGACGGGGATGTCCACTTTCAACACTTTATTCTGTCCCTGGAACCTCTGGCGCAAGCCGTTAGGCCATCTAGAGCCTCCCCCATGAAAACTGGCGATAATAATCATATGTTGTATGCTGATAATATTACTTTGTTTTTTGATTACTGTGACACCTCTATTCACGTTACTTAAAAAATTCATAAATTTAGTGACATCAGTGGCTGTGTGTTTTTTTTTTGAGGGGACAGCAAATCTACACTATGATACAAGCTGAACACTCACTACTTTACATTGTAGCAAAGTGTCATTTCTTCAGTGTTGTCACATGAAAAGATATAATCAAATATTTACAAAAACATGAGGGGTGTACTCACTTTTGTGAGATACTGTATGTGCATCTGTTACACTGGATGATGATGAATGTGATGATTATATATATTCTGACTGAACTGTCCATGATGTGATGGTGTTTGGAAGTTGTTCTTGGCTTTGTTTGCAGCCCCAACCAGAGGAAGTGAGTTCAGTGCACTAAGGCACTGAGGTGCTTTGACACAAATACTAACATTTGTCAGCTGTCAGCATGCTAACATGCTCACAATGACAATGTTTGTGTAAATCTGGTGGCATCGACTGCAATTGTCGTACTACTTCCTGTTCTCACTCTGCCTGAAGTTCTTGTCATGTTGGAGCTGTTTCCTCTGTTTCTTGCTTTGACATGTCAGTCTTCTGTGTCTTACCTGATTTAAATGTGGATCTCACCTCTAATTTCACCTCTTTGTCACCATCATGTTTAAAGTAAACCAGTTTTGACTATTGACAGAGAACTGGAAGCCTGCTGTCACATGAAATGTGTTGTATCAACTGAACAACAACCAATCCTGTTTTTGTTTATACAGGTTCTGGTTGACTGACTACTGCTGCTTCACCACACTGGGGAAGAGCTTACCGCCATACTGCAGGTAATACACTAACTAAAGACAGGGAAGTAGGACTAGGGGGGGAAAGGGGACTGTGAGGAGGGCCCACAGAGATATGTAAATGGCCGTGGATGCAGGGAGACCCTCCCTGCATCCACAGCTATAGAGAATACCTATGTACAGGGTCCAGAAATTTCTGCTACACATCTGACTATAGACGAAATACCTCATACAGCAACACTTCATGAAACCCACACTATCACTTTAATAGTAGTAGCCTACACAATGAAGCATGTTTGGCATAAATATATTTTTAACCCTCTAAAAGTGTAATTGTTTAACAATGTACTTCCACAAAGTACACCTAAATAGTATTTACTAAGAGTGAAATATATTTTTTAAAAATAGACTAAAATGTTGTGAAAAATATACTTTTATTTAAGCATATTTATTAAAAGTTTAATTAAGTATATATTTATTACCAATTTCTTCAAAGTATACTTTTGAGAAGTATGTTAAAGGCCAGGAGAATATATCTTTAATATACATGTAGTAAGCATGTTAGGAGTATGAATGTACTATAAGCATACAATATTTTCAGTGCCTTTAAGGGCACTTCTTTTTGACCTTGTCAACAGTCTTGCAGCATCATTCTGGTCCAAGAATAGGAGAGATACGAAAAGGAGACAGAGTAGTCTAACCGGTATGAACTTCATGCATGACATGTCATCTCTAGCTCCGGTTTTGAGACAACAGGTCTGGCAATCTTAAATGCATGTGTTGTGACTTGCAAATCAATTAATCTCTGTACACTTATGAATAAAATCTAACATATTTTTTTTTTCTTGGGTCTCAATATTAATGAATCCACACAGAAGGATTCACAAATATATTTGTGATTTTATATCATGTGATTTAACACTGACTCTCTCCACAAACATAAGTTTCATTGCACACAACTCTACACTTGGAAAAGTTTAATAAAACATCCATAAAATAATCTGAACAGGTCAAAGACTATGAAATTATGGGATATCCACCACTTAACATACAAGTTTAACTTTAAAAAGCAGCTCTTACCTGCAGTCTGACAACTGCACCTTCAATGTGATGTGGCTGACTGACGTGACATTAAGTATCAGTATGACACTCCTCTGCTGAGAAACAAACACATACGTCAATCTATGTCACCGCTGAGTCTGTGGATGACTCTGCCAACTGTAGTGCATTCCAGCATGCTGTTAATGAGGACCAAACAGGATTTGGTTAAGGGGCGCTTTGCGTCTGATAACATGTGAAGATTGCTACACATTATAATTATTTATTTGGACCACGCAGTCTGTCATTCAGCAATTCAAACAGCAGCAGACTTGCCCGTTAGCGGGCAGGCACATCTCCGAAAACATTGTAGCAAATTTTTTAAATCAGCAATTAGTTGAGAAATAGACCACACATTTGGAGTTTAAATAACTATATTCCCATATAAAAACTCTTAAAACTGTATTCCATGACACAATAAAAGACGTATTATAAATTCGTCGTGGGTCTTCTCCTTCGCCATTTCCGCTTGTTAGCGCAAAATGCGAATCCGAAGTCCACACAAGTCACCACCCAATGCAGGCAGTAAAACTGGCAGAGCGAGAACACATCCGGGTATATGACTGTACTTGGCTAGATGCCTAGTAGTAGCCTACTTGGGCTGCAACTGATGACGTTTCACAAGTCCACAAAAACACTAGGGCCCAAACCCAATGTCCCCCCTAAGCCCAAAGCCCTGAACCCTCACAGACTTTACTGACATCACTTGGAAAGTGATTGAGTGCAAGAGGCTGCAAGGGCTCAAAATGCTATACCCTTGCCACAATATCACGTTACCTTAACGACACTGAAACATGTTGCACACTTTTTATTTTATGTTTGCCTGATTTTTAAGTCCTGCAGGCTCTCACCCTTCAGAGTGAAGGAGAGGTAAATGTCAATATATATTTGTCAATAATTAATACACTATTGTTGGTCAAAACAGCATCATTAAGCAAAAACTAAAATAAATATAGTTAGTTAGTAGTTAGTAGCAAGAACGCTGATTGAGAAACAGCTACAGTGTGTGTGTTGTGGCCATGGCTTACCTCTCCTGGTGCCTGGCTGGTGGCTCATCTACACGCCTGTCTTCAATCAGCACATCGACTCTCTGCTCAAATTATTACTTAATGGTGGTGTGGCTCTTTACCAAAATAGTTCTCTAATATTTTTGTGATTGTGCTTTTGACTAACTGGTTTTCCTCCTGTGCTTCAAAATTGCTCTCCTCTCACGCCACTTCAGCACAATCTCCAGCTTTCATTCTCATCGCTCTTCCCCCGCCTGCCCCCTGCCCTCATCAGCCTGCTACCACCTTCACTCATTCACGATGATGATGATGATGACATATCCTAACTGAACTGTCCAGGAGTGTGATGGCGAGTGGAAGTTGTCCTTGGCTTTGTTTGTAGTCCCAACCAGAGTAAGTGAAACAGTTTGTGTTCACTGCACTAAGGCACAGAGGTGCTTTGAGCTATCAACTGTCAACTGTCAGCATGCTAACATGCTCAATATGAAGATGTTAGTGTGAATGTGGTGGCATCAACTGATCATACTACTTCCTTTTTCTCATTCTGCCTGAAGTTCTTGTCATGTTGGAGCTGTTTCTTACATTATTTATTCACATCAGTAGATGTGTCACAGTAGGGAATTGAACCCAGGTTTCTCACACCAAAGGCATGTGTCTTATCCACCATCACCATTTTCTGTTTCTTGCTGTGACATGTCGGCCTTCTGTCTTCTACCTTTTAAATGTATATCAACCAGTATTTCTCACATCTAGTGAACAACATAACAGGTAATTATTACATCAAGTTCATTTAAGGGGAAACCACTTTTGAATGTTATCTATAAACCCACACAGTTTTTACATGACACTCAGTGGGCCCCTTAGGCCTGCCTGTACCTGCAGAGTGAAACTTGGTTACAGAACTTTTATCCTTTACACTAGAAGAAATTAAGAAATAGTGAAAGTATCTTGAAATTTAAAAAAGGCAAGTTATAACGTCCTCATACTGTGAATACAGTACACAGCAAGGCACCAATAAATCCTTCAGCCAAGACACATTTTATCTCGACAGGACTCTGAAAACATTAACCAGAGTGGTTTCTAATTTAATTTCTAACCTGTAACCTGGATGTGAGTTTCTCTGGTCTGGTTGACGTCCTTCTGTTGGACTCTACAGGTGAAGCTGTTGCTGTGTCTCTTCTCCACAGTCACTCTGCTGCTGACAGTATAGAGGTCATCAGGACCTCTGACTGTCTCTGTAGGTCCAGCAGAGAGGAGGTTTCCCTCACCGTCCAGCCAAAACACCTCAGGCTCTGGATACCAGCCTGCAGACTCACACTGAAACACCACACTGCTGCTGGTTCTGTTCAGTAGCAGGTGATGAGACAGCACCTAAAAATGAGAGAGAGGAGATTTAAATTATTTAAACTTCAGACTATAGGTGGCAGGTTAATGATGTCTGTCTGATAAACATTAACCATATAACAGCATGACCGTTTAAACTGGTTTCATACTGAATTACTATTTTTCCTCACACTATATAAATGTCCTGAAATGTGCATCTGAATCATCAGATTGTGTTATGAAGTAAACAATGCTAAGTACACTGCTCAAAAAAATAAATGGAACACTAAAATAAACACATCCTAGATCTGAATGAATGAAATAATCTCATTAAATACTCCTTTCTTTACATAGTTGAATGTGCTGACAACAAAATCACACAAAAATGATCAATGGAAATCGAATTTATCAACCCCTCGAGGTCTGGATTTGGAGTCACACTCAAAATCAAAGTGGGAAACCACACTACAGGCCGATCCAACTTTGATGTAATGTCCTTAAAACAAGTCAAAATGAGGCTCAGTAGTGTGTGTGGCCTCCACGTGCCTGTATGACCTCCCTACAACGCCTGGGCATGCTCATGATGAGGTGGCGGATGGTCTCCTGAGGGATCTCCTCCCAGACCTGGCCATCTCCTGGACAGTCAACTTGGTGCAACGTGGCGTTGGTGGATGGAGCGAGACATGATGTGCCAGATGTGCTCAATTGGATTCAGGTCTGGGGAACGGGCGGGCCAGTCCATAGCATCAATGCCTTCCTCTTGCAGGAACTGCTGACACACTCCAGCCACATGAGGTCTAGCATTGTCTTGCATTAGGAGGAACCCAGGGCCAGCATCTGGTCTCACAAGGGGTCTGAGGATCTCATCTCGGTACCTAATGGCAGTCAGGCTACCTCTGGTGAGCACATGGAGGGCTGTGCGGCCCCCCAAAGAAATGCCACCCCACACCATTACTGACCCACTGTCATTTGGAAATAGGTTGTATAGACTGAAAAAGTGTTTTAAAGATATCTATCAATAAAAGTCAGCATTTTAACAATAAATATTGCCAAAATATGGACAATCGCCTGGTATATTTGAAAATGTTGTATGATAACTGTTGTATTTTAGTTTATTTTCGTCAGATTTACATTTACAATTGCATTCTAGGTGGATTAGAAGATATTCAGTTGCATTAAAAGCTAACTCAGGATGGTTTTGATGGTTTATTGCATCAAAATATAGCTTTTTATAGCAAATGGTTGAGGAGTTATTCCTGATTCATTCTGGAAAAAGGGGTCTGTTTTCAAAAGGTTAAACTACATTTATTTGTTTCAGCTGCACCACAGTCATAATCACTCTCAAATAGTCACATTATCTCCAACATGATCACTATATATGATAGAAAGTTATCATGCGACTACAATATGAAAGATTACTGTTCATTGATCAGTTTTACTAGTTTAAACAGTGATTACTGCAGTAATGTAGCCCACGGGATGTGTTTCAGGGCAACTGTTGCCAACTTGACAGCTGCCTTGTGTCATAGTGTTATAAAGAAGGTATTTCCTCTATGTCTGGAGATAACTCTCTGTCCATACATCGATTGACAGATTGATCATAAAAGCAGTCATGTTCAAGATCATGTTTGGGTAAAAAACATAGTAGTCCAGGATTTTGATATTTCTGAAGACGTGAGCTACTAAAAGCGTTCAGATATGTGCTTTGATATCGACAGTATGAATAAGGAAAAGTCAGACAGCATAAAAAAAAATGAAAAGAAACATTAAATATATTAACAAAACTCTGACTTCCTTCCAATATATTTTAATTTGCTCACACTCACATAATAATTTAATACTTACTTACTACATTTTTTCTTATACATACATACAAAATAATCAGTTCACACAAAGAGCACGGTCTACACAAACTACAGATGGATAGTTAAGATGAGGAGCCTGCCATCAAAACTACGAATTTACTGTTTAAGGCAGGACACTTTTTCATAGTGGTCAATTTTGAGACTTTGGTCTATTTTACTTCCATGTTGACTTTTACTCTGGAAATGAAATTTCAAGAAAACACCGTTTAGATTGTGTTTGTTTTAAGCCTGCTACCCTCTGTCTGTTCGCATCTGTAGATTTATTCTAAATTAACCAAAACAAGCTAATCTGCATATTTACATAGAACATTTCAGAGGAAAATACTCTTGATGTAAGTCATTAACTGGGGAAGTTCTGTGGTGATATGCTTTAGTTATTTTGTTTAACCTATTCACCTGCAGTAACTTGTCAAATGTGTGCAAATTAGCGCATTTTAATTAGTTAACTCATAATTTGAATATAAATGTGGCGATTGTGATGACGTTATTGGACACAAATGTTACTGTGTTCACCTGTAGTGTCTCCATTTAGTACAGTACATTAGCTCGTTATGGCCATGAGATATGGCCTTAGCTGAACTTCACCTATTATTACATGAGCTCAGCTCATATGTCATAAATGTATAGGCCTATATTTGCCTTTTGTCTTTTGTTTAATTAGCGGTTTACTGAAGGCACTGGTAGTTTAGTCTTTTGTTCATCACCACTCACCTCCTCACAAGCCAGAAGCTTGGAGGTACTGCTGGCTGGCTGTGTGTTGTGCTGCTGCAGGGAGACTCAGAGCCAGCGAGAGAGAGAGAGAGAGAGAGAGAGAGAGCGTGGGCATCAGAACTATATTACTATATATTTAGATATTTTCATTTGGGGTTTGTTGCCAACAAAATCACAAGCTGTAAGGGGAAGCAGCT